TCAACCCGCCCGCGGGCGCGCAACCGCAACCGCAACTGGGCGACACATTTCAACCCGCCCGCGGGCGCCCAACCGCAACCGCACCTGGGCGACACATTTCAACCCGCCCGCGGGCGCGCAGCCGCAACTACGCGACACATTTCGACCCGCCAGCGGGCGCGCAACCGCAACCGCACTTGGGCGACACATTTCAACCCGCCCGCGGGCGTGCAACCGCAACCGCAACCGGGCGACACATTTCAACCCGTCCGCGGGTGCGCAACCGCAACTGGGCGACTCATTTCACCCCGCCCGCGGGCGCGCAACCGCAAGCGCAACTGGGCGACACATTCAGCCCGCCCGCGGGCGCGCAACCGCAACCGCACCGCCCACCTGCCGTCCTCCTCCAGGGGATCTGAGGCGGAGGAAGGGTGGGAGGGAGGGCGAAGGAGGAGGGAGGCGGGAAGGAGGAGGAGGAGGTAGGGGGCGAGGGAGAGGAGACGGAGGGAGGGTAGAGAGCTCGCAATGATTGGGGGCGGACAACTTCTGCCCCCCCCCCCCCCCCCCCCCCCCCGTTCCACGCAAGTGGATCTCCACAAGGCTCCAGACACTGGATTCCTTATCCAAGGCCTCCACGGTCTGCTAGCGGGATGGGTGGGTTGACCGCCCCCGATGGGGGAGACGAGGCTTTGACAGAAGCGGTCCGTTGCACCGCCTAGTTTGAAGTTGGGGGGCGATGCCGCGGGGATCGATTGCGCGTTCACCCGCGCGCAAGCTGCCCGCGGATGTAGGTGCATCGGCGCCGTCTTTTTCACGCAGCCTGCCGCATCTTATTCATGATCTGGTGCAGGAGCAGGTGGAAAAGGAGGGGGGGAGGACGAGGAGAAGGTAAAGGAGGAGGAGGAGGAGGAGGAGCAGCAGCAGCAGGGCGACGAGGAGAATGAGGAGGAGGAGGAGGAGGAGGAGGAGCGGCAGGACGAGGAGGAGGAGGAGGAAGATCAGGATGGCCAGGAGGAGGAGGACGATGGAGAGGGGGATGACAGGGTGGTGCTGCTCGAGAAGGTGCACGAGCAGGTGCTTGTTGCGGAGGACTGGGGAGGACGAGGTGGTGGACGTCAAGGAGGATATGGGCGTGGAAGTAGATGTCCTCCTCGCGGCCTCCGGGCGCGACCCGCGGCTCATTGGACGTCTTTCGGGCCCTCTTGTCGCCCCTTTTCCCCTCCTTTGACGCGCTCTGGCGCCCCCCGACGGGTCCAAAACGGCCGGGCACGGAATCGGTGCACTCCGGGGCCCCCGGAACCCCCTCCCCATTTACACATCCCCAAGCCTTAAATTCTTTCTTTGTGGACTAAAACATGAGAACACCGATGGATCCAATTAGATCTTTTTTCGATGGACGACAGCGTCGTGGATCCTATTTCTGTCTTGCGCGGAGCCAATTTCCCGTGAAAAAACAACGGGCCCATTCATTTTCTGGGAATAAGTATATAATAACAAGTAGCATCCCGGACCCAGGGGGAATCGGATCCGCGGGGCACCGCACGTGAAGCATCATGCTATCCACGGAACTGTGGATCTGCTGACCAAAGCTATGACTCTACGGGGGGGGGGGCCTCCTAGGACAGAGAGGGGAAGGAGGAGGGAGGAGGCACGCTGCCGAAGAGAGCGCGACATGTATCCGCGCACCTGAACGGCACGTCGCTTCCGACGTTTGGGGCTCAAGAGGAAAATCTCTCGGCCTGCGTAAGTGTGTATACATATACAAACACATACATGCGTATAGGGGATGCGACTGTGTATGTGTACATGTACTGGCGTACACATATACACATATTCATACGCATAGGGTCCATGTAGCCCCGACATCCCTGGATATCCGCCGATCCCCGCTTGCCTGGGGTAAAATATGTGGCTATCCTTCTCCCTGTTCTCCCCTCTCCTGGGGTCCGAAATCACAGGAGCACGGTGGGGGGGTGGGGGGTGGTTGACGACCAGCAGAAGAGTCCGACTCTGCCTTGCTCTACCCTCTACTGAGCGAAGCAGGTGGCCGCACGCTCGAAAGAGGGAGGCCCCGCCTCTATCCCCTGCTCCCGCCGCTGCTGCCGCTGCTGCCGCTGCTGCTGCTGCTGCTGCTGCTGCTGCTGCTGCTGCTCCATTTCATTGCGCTACACGGGGGACGAGCTCCTCAACGCACCTCCAGGGCAGCTGCAGCAGCCGCCAGGCTCAGCGGCAAGAGCGCCCCCGCCACCACCGACGCCATGGCGAGGCTCCCAGCCACGGCGGGGAAGAAGCGAAGGAGGAGGAGCAGGAGGAGGAGGAGGAGGAAAGAGGGGAATAATGAGGAAGGAGGGAGACGAGGAGAAGTAGCGAGGAGGAGAAGGAGTAGGAGGAGGAGGAAGAGTAGCGAGGAGTAAGAGCGAGGACGAGGAACGACGAGGAGGAGCGAGAAGTAAGAGCGAGAACGGATATAGTTCGCCCGGGCGGAAGGCTTTTTTTGTTCTAGGCGAACAATTTAACGCAGGACCTTCTTCTGGGCCCTTTTCACTTGGGCAAGCTTTGAGGAGCCAGGTGGCAGACCTTACTGCACTTTCTTCAACTGACGCTTGCCATACTGATTCAGCTGGGAAGAACCAAGGGCCTAGGGTAGCCTATGGTAGGCCCTACCCAAGGGCTTAAGGTAGTCAAGGGTAGGCCCTACCCCTGGGACCAGTGCAGGGCAAGGGTAGGGCCTACCGAAGGGCCTACCTGGCGCAGGGCCAGGGTATGGCCTACCCAATGAAGGGCCTGGAGTACGGCAAGGGTAGAGCCTACCCACGGTCCAACCTCTGCCTCTTCCTCCTCCTCCTTTGCCTCCTCCTCTCCCTCATCCCTCCTGCCTCCTCCCCCCTGCCTTCAACCTCCCGCCTCCTCCTCCACATTCTCCTCCTCCTCCTCCTCATCATTATCATCATCATCATCATCATCATCATCATCATCATCATCATCATCATCATCATCATCATCATCATCATCATCATCATCATCATCCTCCCTCCTCCCTCCTCCCTCCTCCCTCCTCCCTCCTCCCTCCTCCCTCCTCCTCCCGCGCCCCTTCTTCTTTCCTTTCTCCTCCTCCGCCTCCTCCTCCTCCCTCCTCCTCCTCCTCCTTGTTATCCTCTTCTTCCTCCTCCTCCTCCTCCTCCTCCTCCTCCTCCTCCTCCTCCCCCTCCTCCTCCTCCTCCTGTCCTTCTCCTCATAAATGAATTCCCCCTTCGCACCCCGAGGCAAGTCTGTAGGGCGGGCCTGGCGTTTCGCCTGAGACTCTCACCATCTATGACCCTGAAGATTTAAAGTGACAACGGTTCCACGGATTGAGGGCGGGTGGTTTTCAAAATGTGGTTCTCGCCTTAGCGCCGCGCACGTTCGTTTTTGTTAAAGTGCAAGAGTTTCACAGGTTGAGGGCGGGTGGTTTTCAAAACGTGGCTCTCGCCTTAGCGCCGAGCGCAGAAGTTTTTAAATCTGCAAGAGTTTCCCGGGTTGAGGGCGGGTCATTTTCAGAATGTGGCTCTCGCCTAAGCGCCGCGCACATTCGATTTAACTGCTTGCCAGAGCTTCACGCATTGAGGGCGGGCGGCTTAAAAGAAAAAATGCAACGGTGTCACGGATTGCGGACGGGTGGTTTGCAAAATATGGCTCTCGCCGTAGCGCCGCGCACACTCCTTTTAAAACTGTGCATGAGTTTCAGGGCTACCCATGATCAGCGTACCAAGAATGGTGTGCTGGGCGGATTTAGGCTTATGAAGGCGCAACAGTGATGTTGGTTCGCTGTGTGGGAGTCTCGGAAATAATGCTCTGGCACCGTTCAAGATCGCTAAGACGCAACAGTCTGGTTGATCCGTGGCGTTGAAATCCCGAGAACCGTGTTTTGACATGCGTAACGGTCCCCATGAACCGCTGCAGGGGCCTACGTATGAAGAGGGAACTTGGAGGGAGGGCGGATTCCAACATCGTGGATGACGCTTGGGTTTCCACTGGTCCTCCTCCTCCATTTCCCATCCCTTTCCTCCTCCCGTTCCTCCTCCCTTTCCTCCTCCTCCTCCTCTTCCTCCTCCTCCTCCTGTTCATCATCATCCTCCTCTTCCTCCTCCTCCTCCTCCTCCCCCTCCTCCTCCTCCTCGTCCTGCTCTTCCTCCTCCTCCTCCTCCTCCTCCTCCTCCTCCTCGTCCTCCGCTTCCTCCTGTTCCTCCTCCTCCTCCTCATCCTCCTCCTCCTCGTCCTCCGCTTCCCCTCCTCCTCCTCCTCCTCCCCTCCTCCTCCTCCTCCTCCTCCTCCTCCTCCTCCTCCTCCTCCGCTTCCTCCTCCTCCTCCTCCTCCTCTCTCCTCCTCCTCCTCTTCCTCCACCCTCCTCCTCCTCCTCCTCCTCCTCCTCCTCCTCCTCCTGTTCCTCCTCCTCCCCCTCTCCTCCTCCTCCTCCTCATCCTCCTCTCCTTTCCTCCTCCTCCTCCTCCCCCTTTCCTCCTCCTCCCGTTCCTCCTCCTCCTCAACAATTACTCAATATGAAAATACTCTCCCTCTTCCCCTGATGGCGTCCGGGTGATGGCCGCGCACCCTCCGCGTACTGTTCTTTTACACACAGGATTCCCGGGAAATCCCGGGAAACGACTCTCGCTGAGGCGCCGGCGTCATTTTTTCCCAAAATGCTGCTCACGTTGAGGCGCCGGCCTCATTTCTGCTCCCGAATCGTTCCGAATCGTGCTCCCGCTGCAGCGTGGGCCTCATTTTCGGATCGGTGTTTGGCCTCCGTCGTTCAGCATGGCGTTCTCGCCCCAGCGCGGGCCTTTTTCTTGCGCGCCCATCCGCCCGCCACCACCGCGCCGCACCGCCACCACCACCACCACCACCACCACAACCACCACCAGCACCAGCACCAGTACCATCACCACCACCACCAGCACCACCACCACCACCAGCACCACCACCACCATCACCACCACCACCACCACCACCACTACCACCACCACCACCA